ATGTTTGCTGCATCATTCAATATTTTGCCCATAGAATCTTTCAATATTGCAACTTGAGGCTTGAATTTTTTCTTCAGTTCTTTCAGCTTGAGGATTGCTAAGTATGTTCTTCCCTTTTGGTCTTCTGACTCCAGGTTTCTACACATTTCATTATAATAACTGACTTTGTCTTCCTGAGCTGCCCTTTGAGATCTTCTGTTCAATTCTTTTATCTTGTCATTTCTTCCATTTGCTTTAGCTACTCTCCATTCAAGAGCAAGTTTCAGAGTTTCTTCTGACATCCATTTTGGTCTTTTCTTCCTTTCCTGTCTTTTTAGGGACCTTTTGCTTTCTTCATGTATGGATGTTCTTAATGTCATCCCACAATTCATCTGGTTTTGGTCATTGGTGTTTGATGAATCAAATCTGTTCTTTAGATGGTCTCTAAATTCAGGTGGGATATAATCAAAGTCTTAGTTTGGCTCTTGTGGCCTTGTTTTAATTGTCTTCAGCTTCATCTTGAACTTGCATGTAAGCAGTTGATTGTTCCACAGTCAGCTCCTGGCTGAAGATAGTGAGCTTCTCCATCTTCTCTTTCTACAGATGTAACTGATCTGATTCCTGTGTACTTCATCTGATGAAGTCCACATGTATAACAGCCATTTATGTTGTTGAAAAAAGGTATTTGCAATGAATAATTAGTTGGTCTTACAAAATTCTACCATGCGATCTCTGATGTTATTTCTATCACCAAGGTCGTATTTTCCAACTACTGGTGATTCTTCTTTGTTTCCAACTTTTGCATTCCAATCACCAGTAATAATCAGCACATCTTGATTGCATGTTTGGTCAATTTTAGACTGCAGAAGTTGGTCAAAATCTTCAATTTCCTTGTCTTTGGCTTTGGTGGTTGTTGCATAAATTTAAATAATAGTAGTGTCTACTGGTCTTCCTTATAGGTGTATCTATCCTATCACTGACAGCATTGTACTTCAAGATAGATCTTGAAACATCGCTTGTGATGATGAATGCCATGCCACTCCTCTTCAATTTGTCATTCTCAGCATAGATCATATGGTTGTCTGATTCAAAATGGGCAAAACCAGTCCATTTCAACTCACTAACACCTAGGATATTGGTCTTTGTGTGTTGTGTTTCATTTTTGACAACTTCCATTTTTTCCTAGGTTCATATTTCGTGCATTCCATGTTATGATTATTAATGGATGTTTGTATGGAATATTTTGAGTCATGCCACATCAGCAAATGAGGTCCTGAAAGCTTTACTCCATCAGTGTTATTAAGGCTGACTACTTTGAGGAGGCAGCTCTTCCCCACTCGTATTCTGAGTGCCTTCTGACCTGAGGGGTTCATCTTCCAGCACTATTTCAGACAATGTTTTAGGGCTATTCATAATTTTTTCCCATTAACATATCAGTGTTTCACTGCTATTTATAAGGTTTTCACTGGCCAATTCTTTGAGAAAATAGCCCCTTCCCTCTTCTGAGTCTGTGCTAGTCTGGAAGCTTCACTGAAAACTGTCCACCATGGGTGACCCTGCTGGTATTTGAAATACTGGTGGAATAGCCTCCAGCCTCAATGGAACACACAAGCCACCACAGTGCAACAAACTGATGAATGAGTGGTGGACCTAACTGGGAGAGTTATATTACATAATGCATCTAAAACACATTTAAGGATTCAATAAGTGACAATAATTATAACAATGCTAATTAAATCACAGAAGGATCTAGGTGATAGAAGGCAAACTAGTACAACTCTAACACCAAAGAAATCTCTACTCTTCACTAGCTCCCTGGTAGACTACACACACAGCGGGCAATGTAGGGAAGGCAAGATGGGAGGACATAGAACTATATTGTAACAGACTTGGAAGAACAATATGGACAACCAGCTCACCATGAAGAAGTGAGGGTGATCAATCTGACTCAGGAGCTCAATGTTGTCTGTGGTTACTGAATGAATTCTGGAGCACCAGGCGAGTGAGAACAGCCAAGGCTTATTGACAATATATAAGTTGATGGTGATGTTAGCTGCTTTATAGTCTCTGGAAAAAAAACAGAACCAACACAGGATTTAGATTTAGTTTCACTCTCATCATATAAAAAAGGAAAAGCAACCATGTTAATGAAAGGCTAGTCTCTAAATCACCAGAAAAAATGGGTCCTGGGATGATACATGATGGGATATGACAGAACAGGCTCACATTGCAATGGGATAAAGGATTGAATATGGTGCTTCTACTCCCTTAGCAGCACTAAGCAACAGTGTGCTGGTAAACTGGATCTCCTAAAGAAAAGAAAAGAAAAAGAGCAAGAGAAAAAAAAAGTTCAATTTGTAGCATTTGCCAATGTCCATGGTGTAAATACTGCTATGATGGCCCATTTCAAGCTACCACTGGTAAAACCAGTTGCAAAACTCTTGAATATTTAGAGGTCCCACAAGATGGTGGACTAGGCAGAAGGACTGCACAGACCCTCTTCAACAAAGAAAAGGAAAACCAATTAACACAGACACAGAAGATAATCCTGGACCCCTGAGCCTTGAAGGGAAGGATACAGCAGTGGACTAATCCCCAA